TATTTCGCCCGTCTAAACTGACTTAGACGGGTGCGGAGACGGACACGGGCTATAGCCCGTCATTCTTGCCGAAGCCTGCATGTATACATGCATACATGCATACATACATACATACATACGTATGAATGTGAGTACGTACGTATGTACTTACATACATACATTTATACATACGTACATACATACATACATACATACATACATACATACATACATACATACATACATACATACATACATACATACATACATACATACATACATATATACATACATATATACATACATTTATACATGCATACAAATGATCAATGTCAGCTTTTATAGTGGATGATGAAATCCAAAATGTATCAGTGAGGTGTTCATCTTTCAACCTATGTCTCTGCTCTGATTTTACATGTTTCAATCTTGAAAAAAATATTTCACAGATGTAAGTGCTTCCAAAAAGGAAAAAGTATTTCATAGCATGTCTGCACTAATGTAGATAAACTTTAATATTCATGTATTTTTTATAAAATTCTAACAACTCAATATCTCTGTAAGCTTCTTTCAAATCTTTATTGCTTTGTAGTTCTACCAACTCTATTTGAAATTCATCTGTTACTGTCTCAACTTTAATGGAAAATGAATGTGAAAATAAGTCTAACTCATTCTTTTCTTCTTTAAAATCACAAAATCTTGTGTCAAATTCATTAATTACTTTTAAAATAAGATTACAATATTTTTCATAGTCAACTGTGTTTGTATTTCTTTCTGACAATGTTTTAAAATGGATAAGTGATTTTTGACTTAATTGTTGTTTAAGAAATTTCAATTTCAAAACAAATGTTTCTACATTTTCATATAATTTACTAACAAGTTGAACTTTACCCTGCAACTTGATATTTAATTCCATTAAAATCTGAGTTATCTTAACTAAAAATGCCAAATCATTCAGCGAGTCATTATTTTCAAGAAAGCTTGTGTCTTTATCTTTAATTTTTAGAAACTTTATTATTTCAGGAATTAATATATAAAATATTTTCAAAGTTGCGCTTGACTAAGCTATCTAACTTTGCAGAAATAAATTACATCTTCTACCTCACTTGCACAATCCTCAAGCAATTGTTTGAACTGTCTGTGATTAAGGCCACAACTTCTTATAAAATTAACAGTTTGGATAACAATTTCTATGACTTTTTTCATTTCTAATACTTTTACACATAACTGTTCCTGATGTATAATACAGTGACATGAAAGTATGTTGTGATCAACGGATTTCTTAAATAATTCCAATATTTTTTCCTTTCATTGAACTTGCTCCATCTGTAGTGACACCAGAGAGTTTTGTTTCTGGCAAATCCAACTTTATCATTGTTTTTTTGACTTCAGAAAGAATATCTTCTTTATTAATGCCTTTCATGTGCCTGAAATCCAACTATTTCGTCAATAATTTCAAAGTTACTTGTTATAATTCTAATAAAATAGCTAACTAAGCCGTATCACCTCTATCTGTTGATTCATCAAGTGCCAGAATATATGCTTTACACTTACATAGTTTTTCTTTCAATGCTAATTCAATAATTCACTAATTCTTTGATAGTTCTTCAACATACATATATACACACATATATACATACATATCTACATACATACATAAATACATACAAACATAAATACATACATACATAAATACATACATACATAATTACATACATACTAGCTATGTATCCAGGCCGATTTTGATACCGGTATACCGGTATGGGCCCCCAAATTTCAGCCCAAATTCAATTTAAAACAATTTTATATTAGCATTTGTTAAGATACTAATGTCGCTTAAAAAAACCAACTTTTGAAAAAGGACTTTTATAAATGTATTATAAGCCAACCAGAATGCTTAATTAGAGTTCACGTTGATGAAATATAGAATATGTTGTAATTGGATTAAATGTAAAACGCATGTTTTGATTGGATTAAAATATCAAACGCTTAACATTTTTAAATAACATTTTTAAAATACATTAATTTGAGTTTCTCCTCCGCTTACGTTTTCATAACATAATTTACAAAGCGATTAAACTATATAAGCTTTAAACTTTTTCATTTCAAATAACAGTAAAATTGTATTAAAAATACCTTAAATAATAAAACAAATAAAAGTTTTTAAAACATAATAACATTGTAATATTTGCGCCAAAAAACTTGATTTGATAAGTAAGAGTAGAACTAGAAAAAAAAGTTATTAATTTTTGAATGAAGTAATTGAAATTTCGAATGAATTTACTTTGTTATGCAATAAACACGCTATGTAATAAATCTTATCAAGTCTATACAAAAGAGTCATACAAATATTGTTTATTAAACGCTATAGTTACAGCTTGTTTATGAAATCATACTCCTTTTTATTTTTAGTTATTAATATTTAATATTTTTAATTTAACAATTTAATATTTAGTATTAATTATAATTAGTAAGCGAATAGAGCAAGTAAATGAAAAGTAGCGATTAGCAACGAATCGATGTTGGAGTTGAAGCCGTCATTCTGTAATAAATGTCCTCTAAGGTCCTCTACGGTAGACAAAATTTTTAGACCAGTATGCCCAAAAAATTTCTGGATACGTCACTATATACATACCAGGCTTTCACAGGAAGACGTGCGATTTCATGTCTTTATATGACCACGCAAAAAAAAAATGTTTTAACGATTTGACCTTGGCATATTTTTAAAATTTAAAAAGCGCTACAAAAACTTACCTAAACTTATCTGAAAAAAAAAAAAAATTAAAAAAAATAATAAATATTAATGAAATAGAAAATAAATAAAAAATACTTAGTTAAAGCAAAAACACAAAAAAATAAATATATATATATATAATGCAACTAAAACAAACTCATCAAATTAAAATGCTTAGTCTATTTAATTTACGCATTAAATCTTACCTTTTCAATCTTTGTTTCAACATTTTTATATATTTTTTATTTGTTTAATATGTTCAAAAGTTAAATATTACTCATAAAAAATACATAGTTATATATATAAAAAAAAAAAAACATTTTATAAATACTTTTTTTTTAATTAATTAGAAGTGTTTTTTTTTTTTACTTCATTAAAAGCGTTTTAATAATATAAAAGCATTTAAGATCAAACTTATTAAATTGTAACGGTTTTCTAAATCTTTTTTTTTTTAACGAAGTTTTGTTTATCTTTTTAAATGCATTAACTTTAATCATTCTTATATTTAAATTCGTTAAAGAGACTTTGGTAGTCGTAGAATGTCATCATTTATAAAAAAAAAACAATTTTTTATTTTTTAATAAGATTTACAATTTATATGTTTTACATTTACAATTTATATGTTTTAAATTTAAAAAATATTTACAACTGTCAACTATATTTAAAAAACAAAACTTTTTTTCAAACAGCCATAGCAAAATGTAACTTTCGTGGTCATATAAAGATGTGAAATCGCACGTCTTCCTGTGAAAGCCTGCATACATACATACATACATACATACATACATACATACATACATACATACATAAATGAACTGAATATTATGCAAAAGAGATTTTTATCATTAAAAAAGTCTCATGATTTATGATAAATCATTAAAATAATTATGGGAGTATATTAATTTTGATTGTTTTTTAAAAAACATTAAAAATAACAAATTTAATGACTTATCTTTCATATTTCTTTATAGAATTTGTATTTTTATATTTTTATTTTTAAAATTTTTTAACATTTAATTTCTTTATTTCGTTATTTTTATTTTCATGTAAGGTGTAAATACATCGGCTCATATAGCCAAAGGCGCAGTAAAGAATTTGTGCATTTTAATACATTACACATACAAACATACAAAAGTACACATACATGCTAATATAGCCATTGGCACAGTGGAGTACAAAATTTTTAACAAAATAACACTTTTAGTTTATTTGTTTTTCTTAATTAGTAAACTTGTTTTACTGTAATTTATTTTATTGTGGTCATTTAAAAAAAGTTTATGTACATAAATTTAAAAAAAAAGAAAGATAATTTTATGGCATCAAAATCATGCAGAGCTAATGAGCAGAACCGTTTTTTCTTTAAAACAAGGCCTGCAGACATACATACATACATACAACTTCTTTACAACATTACTAACGCAACGTTTAAGACTTCATTGCATTGTTGTGAGACATAAAAATAAGCAATAAAGTAAATTAAATAAAGGTTGGTTCAAGTGGAAAAGTAAAAGGGTGGATGACAGTTTACAAATTTACAAATATTTTATTGGCCTTCATTCAATGGAAATCCCTGATGTTGAATCAATTGTAAATATTATTTAGGCATCTATATTGCAATAAAACGCAAACATCAAATTTTTTTAACTCCTTATATTCAACTGTATGTTTTCACTGCTTTGTCGATTAAAGGTTCTTATATTTTCAAGAAATTTAGAATTAAAAACTCTTTCTTATAGACAGAATGTAATTTTATGAATGAGCCTCAAATTGGATGATGTGCATCCTTGGCATTATGATATATATGCGCGTATCTGTGGTGTCATGATATACATAAATATATATATATATATATATATATATATATATATATATATATATATATATATATATATATATATATATATATATATATATTCCTATAGTTTGACTTCTAAACTTACAGTTTGTGGCAAAAAACTTTTTATGAGTTATTGTGTTTTAAAAAGACAAAATTAAGTACACTTTATGTCAAAACCATTTAGTTTAATTGAGGAAACTATTTAAATTAGTCAGCACTATTAGGCACACTCAATATATATGTAATATTTTAGTAAGGAAAAAAAAATCGTTAAAGTAGAAAAAGTGCATCTTATAGCGGTAGAGTATATATATATATATATATATATATATATATATATATATATATATATATATATATATATATATATATATATATATATATATATATATATATATATATATATATATATATATATATATATAAAGATATATATATTAATTTAGCTATTACCTTCATTTTTAGAAGCTCTTTTTCTAGCTTAAATTCTCTTTCTTTTATGTTATTCATTATTCTCTTTTCTTCTTGCATTTTTCTTTCATTGTATTCATAAATTTTCTTCTGCTTTTCATGTTCAATTCTAACAATACGAGGTGAATGTCGTGCAACAGGTTTATCATTTAGCTCTTTTTTAGGAGTAGTTTGCTGAAAAGTTAAGCCTGATGACTTCAAAGCATTAATATTTTTTTTTACAACTGATAATGAGGTTTCATCATCATCAGATATAGATATTCTTTCAAGTTTATTTTTTTCTAATGTCTCATATGATTTTTTGTTATATTTTAAAGAGGTTTTTTCATTCAAATCATTCAACTTTACATCATTTAGTTTCACAATTTTTGATAAAGGTTCATCTTCAGAACTACTACCAATACTTAAAGACCTTGTCCTGTTCACACTCACTGAAGCTGTTAACTCCCTTTTCTGTTTACTTTTTTCATCATTTGGGGTAAACTTTATTTTCATTTGCTTTAAATTCGAACTTTGTTTTGCTTTTCCAGCTACAAATGACTTTTTTTCAATTTCTCCTGTCATACTTTAATCAGAGTTTTTAGAACAGAATCTAAATTGCAAAACAAAATACTTTAAAATTTAAAATATATGTTTTTAACAGTTTTTAATTAACAATTATTTTCAACAATACAACCTTTTTAATTTAATAGATAATTTAATAGATATTTAATAGATGACTGAATACTTTTACCTCACTATATGCTTGAAAACTTAGTAAGCAATAAACAAAGTCATTATCTTCACTTTACAAATTTGACAATAAAGAAACATCTACAAAATATAATAAAAATTTACATATTAAGATTGCATGATAAAATGATGCTCTTTAATGTTTTAAATAACAAATTTGGCTTGCTACCCCAAACTACTAATAATTTATTTACAAATACTAACAAAAAATAACAAGTCGGTAATTAAGGGCATGTAGGAAGCTTTTCTACAATATTAACTTATATTATAATTTATCTTAAAACACAATAAGCACAACAGGAAAATATAAACTAAAAAGAAAACTATTCAAAATTCATAGTATATTAAACTAGATAACAAATATAGATAATATTTAGATTTATACAGATAAGACAAAAATAATAATAATAATAATAATAATAATAATAATAGCAATAATAATAATAGCAATAATAATAACAAAAATAATAATAACAATAATAATTAAAATGATAATAAAATAATAATAATATTAAAATTTATCTTGATAATTTCCTTTTTGAAACTGTTATTTCACTTCTTAATTGCTACTTTTAACTAGATGTTATTGTGGTAAAATCTATTTTTATATTTTACTTTTTGAACTTCATAATTTTGTCTCGTAAATGATTATTTACAACATAAACAATATTTAATTATAAATTTTGCAATAGAATGAGTCATGCATTGACTGAATTAAATAAGGAGAGCACGCAGAGAGTGTACATTTTTTTTTTTTAATTTTAATTCACCTCCCTCAAGGCTGAGAAGGTAACTACAGAAAAGGAGGCTACTTAGTTGTGGTTATAAACCCTCTCTTAACTTTATAACTCCGAAAAATGAAAAACAAGTTGAGTACAGTACTACCAGAGATGTGGTGGGGATCAAACTTGGAACCTCTCGCTTATAAAGCAAGCGGTCTACCACTACCGCACACATCAGTTTAGGGTTGACATTAAGATCACCTGCCCTAACCCAAACCTATAGTTGATATATGTAAACAAGGCCTATTTTAGGCGCTCAAATACAGTTGGCGATGTCGAAAACAGTCTAGAATAACCATTGGTATATTCTTTGCATGATCTCGATCATGCAAAGAATTCAATTGAAAATTTAATCAAAGTCAATCGATGCTAGAATGAAAATTAGAACAAAATTAAACTATATAATATATACATAAGATTTTATTTAATCATAACAATATGGAAAATTTGTTAACAATTAAAGGGATCCCCGACTGCCGAGACAAGTTGTGTTCATATTAAAGAAAATGTTTAAAAAAAACATTTGGGCTTTTTTTTTGATTAAAACTATATAATGAATGCACACCATTAAATTTAAAATTCACGTTTTAGTCGAAGCTCGCCGCCTCCATTTTTTTTGGTTCTTGGAGTCTGTATAATGTTAGCCGCAATCTGCAGACTTGATAATTTATTTCATGCGTGTTTAATTCATAACAGTTTCGGTATATAACGTCATCGTAGAAATTTTTTCTTTCAAGATGTCGTATTATTTTTTTGTCAAAATCACCAAATCATGTTAATTTTATAACTTTTTACTAAATCCCAAAAAAAGTTTATGATGCAATTAAAAATTAAATTTATAAAATATATAAAAATAAAAATTTAATAAATAACGGATATATTTACAGTAAAATGTATAAACTAAATACTAAAAGATTAATTTACAACAGCGTATAAAATAACTGAACTACGTAGAAAGTAAATATAAAACGACTTATTTTACTAATAACCGTTCAAATCAAACTAAATTAAAGTTAAAGTAAATATTTGTAAAATATACAATATATAGTACAATATATATACAATATATACTAAAATATACAATAAATAGTTATAATATAAAATATAAAAACAAAGAATACAAGTTTTTTATAAATATAAAAACAAAGAATCGCATTAAATTGTTCGCTACCAGCCGAACAAAAATCTTTTTGTAGCAACCGCACATTTTTTTGAATAACATTTGAATAGCATTGACAATTGATTAAAATTCGATAATAATAAAGTTTTTAACACGCCTCAATAAACAATAAGAAATGCAAAGTGCTTAAAACTATTGTTTTTGTAAGTAGTAACTAAAACATTAAGTACAAAACAAACCTCATTTAATGAATAAAAATATTTTTTTTTCAAAATACTTTGGTAATTACCTAACTAAATACTTAACACTTCTACAAGTTAATTTTTTAACTTTGTGATATTTTTTTTATAATTACACAATTATAGTTCTTATTTTTTCTTGATTATGTAGAGAATTAATTAAACCTTCAGAACAATGTGTCAAGAATGGAAATTTAAGTACAAAACAAGATAAATTGTAAAGCATACTCGAAAGCCGCTACAAGCGGCTTGCAGTAGTGAAAGAGTTAAACTATAACTAAATGTAAATTAAACATAAAATGAACAACTCTATTGAACCATATAAACTAAATATAAAACGAAAAACCGCATCATACTGCCTTTATTTTTTCTCTGTCTGCGAACTCTAATAAACACAAAAATATGTATAATTGTGTCATGATTTTGGCTAACTTCTACAACATAAATAAATAATAAACATAAAACAATAACAAAACAAGTAAAAAAAAATTATAAATATAAAAATGCGAGCTTTGACTAAAACGATAATTTTAATTTTGTTGGTATGCATTCATTATTTAGTTTCAATCAAAAAAATTTAGCTCAAATGTTTTTTTTTAAACATTTTCTTTAATATGAACACAACTTGTGTTCCCGTGTGTATTTATTGTCTTTAAACATCCCCTCCCCCCTCTTGTACGCGTTCATACGCTTTTGGGAAACCCCTCTCCCCTGATACCTGCGTACGTACTTTATAGATGGCCCCAATTACAAAATCATCAGGCTTGGTCGGGAAGTGGAAGCGATCGCTCTCAATTACTGACCACGGAAATAATATTTAGTTACGAAAAACTAAACAGACTTTTTAGTCATTTCAAAAAATAAAAAAAAGCACAAAAATTGGATCAATAAGAGACAATCGCAAAAAAAAAAAAAAAAAAAAAAAAAAAAACTAGAAAAACAAAATATTTTTTAAAGCAAAATAAATTTAGAACAAATCTTTTCGAAACATCGCTCTTTTATAATTTTTTTATAAAATTAAGCAACATTTTTTATATAAAGTAACACCTTACGATTGCTTAAAAAGGGAGCAAATGTACTTTGATTTATCAAAAAATGTAATATAATTTTTATTTATATACTCGTGTCATATTTCCAGCGCTAGATTAAGGAGGGTTGGAGTTAGAGGGGGCTATAGCCCTGAGCCCCGCAATGTTAGGGGCCCCGAAAAAGTCAAGAAGACCTTTTTTTTAGTCATTTTTATGCTGTGGCACATATAAAGGCCTCTAAAATAAAAATAACCCCAGGCCCAGAAAAGTCTAACAAGATTCTAATAAAACTAACGCTAGTTTTAGTTTTACTTAAGCTAAATTATTTTATAAATAAAAAAAATAATTTTTTTAATAACTATTTTATGCTTCGCGTAGTTTAAAGAGTTTAACATATATGAAACAATCCTTCTTAGTAAAATGAACAAATGAAATAATTAAACAATTGAGTTACTATAGAAATGAAATTAACTAGATAGAAATCAACTAAAAAGGTTAAAAATACTTTATGACGAGGAAGCGAAACTGCTTCACAATATCGCTGAAGTTTGGTAAGTGGGCTTTTTAATTTTAATCAGTATTTAAAACATAAAAAAGTATAACAAGTTTTTAAGAATGGAAACTGAAACAAAAATAATTAGAATTAGTAAACCAATATCTAAAATCTTTTCTTTATATCTAATAACTTTCTATATATATTTATAATCTGTCGTGACCTCAGGCACAGTGCTTGTTCACCCGCGAGTTAGTTTGTATGCATGTTTGTGTTTAGTAACCAGAAACTTCTTGTTCATTACATAACTAGTTTTATTAACTTTGCTGATTATTAATAACTTCATTAAAAACACAATTACTGTTGAAAGTCTTTGTTTACAAACTAAATACTAAAATTGCTTTAAAAGATTACGTTAGAATAAAAAACAGACACAAAATTACATTTACATAAAAAATACATACTTTTTAAATAAAAAATAAAAATATACTAATAAAATCTAAAATTTTAATAAACTTTCAAAATTTTGACAATTTAAAAAATAAATATTATAAAACATTTATTTTTGTAAACAAATAATAAAAGTTTAAAAGATTTACGGCTTTGCAGATGTGGCTCCGAGAATGAGCCATAATATTAAAGTAAATGTTTGTTTGATAATATATTCTTAAAACAATTTATGCTAGAAATGGGGGCATCCATAAAGTATGTACGTAGTAAAATCACTGATTTAGGACCCCTTCCCCCTTGTACGAATCTGTACGCTTTTGAAGACACCCTCCACGAATGTACGCGTTATTATATTTTTTTTTGAATTAACTCAATTTCTTTTTTCCCCCCTCATTCTTTATAAAGAAATTTTTAAAAATTGTAACTGAAATCAGGACAAAAAAAATAATTCTGATTTGTTACACACGTAAAATTCAATGTTTTTAAAAAAATAAAACCATGCTTAGGAGAGATAGTCAAGTCGCGTACGTACTCATTATCTTTAACACCCCTCCCCCCACTTGTACGCGTTTATACGCTTTTGGGAAACCCCTCCCCCCATACCTACGTACATACTCTATGGATGGTCCCGATCTCAAAACTTAATAAATCTTGAAAAATACAATTTTTTAAACATTTCAACTGAATACTCTAGAAATTTATTTACCTTAGTCAGCGTATATTTTGAACCAATAGAATTTTCTCTTTATTCTTCTGCACCAAGTTGTTTTGAGAACATTCAAGTTTATGTATGTTTCTATGTATGTTTGTAAAACAAAATTTTTTTGTTTTACGGACATACATAAACTTAAATGTTCTCAAAACAACTAAAAAACCTGGCCAGTTTTTTTCAACTAAATATTATTTCCATGGTCAGTATTCAAGAGCAATCGCTCCCGCTTCCCGACAAAGCCTAAATCATGTATCTTATCTTAGATGTTAGGTTTTAAGACTTTTGGAAAATCTTCAACAGAATTGTAACTAAAGTCTAACATTGCCTCTCTAATTATTACTTCTCCCCAGTATAAGGCAGAAATATTTGCTTAGAACTTTTCCTTTAAATTGACTCTTATACCTAATTAAACATCCCAGCAAAACAGATTAACCCATTTTTAGACATCCAAATCACTCTGGTTTCTGATGCTATTCTCATTTAAACTCTTTTACATCTTGTGATTTAGACAACATTTCCATAAGGGCCTTGCAAAAATCTGAGAATTTTACATTAAAGTGTCTCTGTTTGCTGACAACTTAACTTTATACTCTTGTCTTGACGAAAAAAACATTTGGACACTAGTGACCAGGAAAAAAAAGAGATACAAAGCAGAAATCTTTTTGGTACTCCGCATCCCTGTTTAGAACAAGCACCCGTTATTTAATGTCATCACTTTTTTGTAACAGCTTGGGGTAAGCAGTGGTTTGTAGATTTTAACTTTAACAAAACTCAGTTATTTACTGCAATTAACTCATAACATTTTTGACATTCCTATATTGACAAATAACAATCCTCTCATTATCAAGGTCCTAATGGTCAAAGCTTGAGCCACTCTTCCATTGTCGCAAGGTTGCATCTTATTCTTATTTTACAAATTACTACTGTGCTCGCTACTCAAACGAGCTATCATTTCTAGTTCAATCAACCAAAACTTGTTCTTGCTTGGCTTGTCACTTGGCAAAATCGATGTTAGCAAGGGTGTTAGCAAGCGCTGAGGGGTCCAGTTAATTGCGGTATTCTCAAATGCTCATAAATTTGAAATTCACAACTTAATGTGAACAAAAATCTTATTCACCAATTAAAGTTTGCCAAATTATATTCAAAATTTTATCATTGTTTTGAAAATTATTGCAAATTAATAATTTTAAAATAATAATAGAAAAAAAGATAAAAGATAAAAAATGAAAAACTTTAGTTAATAATCAAAATAAAACAAATATAAAAAATTTGTTTGGTGTAACACTTACAAATGATGTTATGTCTAAAGTTTTGCCAGTACAAGAGCTGAAATATATATACATACATATATATATATATATATATATATATATATATATATATATATATATATATATATATATATATATATATATATATATATATATATATATATATATATATATAATTTTGCTGAGGCCAGGGCTAAGTTTGTAAAAATTCTCAGCTACTTACTAGTTCAAAACCAGGAAATGTATGTGGCTGTAATAAAGTTTGCAACAACTTTAACACAATATCATATTTATATAAGAAAATGGGATTATGGAAACTTGTATAAACACCATAAATGAGGAACCATGGACATTAAACTTGAAAAAAATTAAAGCGAAAAATTGTATTTTAATTCAACATGTAACATTAAGATATTAATATTAGACTTATATTTTTAATGTTAAAAGTGAACGTAAAATATTTAATTTTAGATTTATCACTGCACTCTCTTATAAAATGTAAAAATGTCTTATAAAATGTAAAAAATCAGACCTTAACAAAAACACAAACTTCTAGCTATGCAATGTAGATATACAATTAACTAATAAATGAAGAAGAATTTATGCTACTGCAGCTTTTCTCATTTGCTCTCCTCCTTTTTTATTGATTATAATAGATTATTTTATGATGATTCAGAATGATATAAACCCATAGATTTGAAAATTTAAAGAAAGCACTCCACTATGGTGTCAAAGTTTAAAAAATAACGCTAAAAAAAAGCTTTTCATAATCTTTTAATATGATAGAATTATGGTTATGATAAAATTTCTTTTCCACGTTACTTTAAAACAGCCTAATTTTTATTGAGACTTAAAAACCAAAAGTATTTAAACTTTGGTGATGCCAAAAATATTAGTCTCTGACTGATCTCTAACCCAAAACATGTACTTCTGTTTATGCCTAATTCTAAATGTACATATAATTACATCTATCCTTTTTTGTTAGTGGATGTATGTAAATTTATTTTTGCAAATCTCTTTATATAAGTTAATGTATATATATATCTAAAAGACTTCAAAAAAAATATTAAATTAATAAAAATATACTCATAAAAACCTGAACCTAAATAATCTTTAATTTTAATATCAATAATATCTAGTTTAATATAAAAAAAAAGAATTTTTAAATGATTAAAAAGGATAATAAAAATTTTTAGTATCATTTTTTAAGCTTTTAAGACATCAAATTAGAGTACTTTCTTTAAATTTTCAAACCTATGTTTTCATATAATTCTGAACCTGTATAATATATTATCAATCTTATCATTATCAATAATAAAAACAGCAGAAGGGGAGGGGCCTGTTGGAAAGAAACTGCAGTGGCACTGACTTTATCAAAAATCTATATGCAGACTCTTAATAGCCTTTAAGAAGTTACTTATTTATGTATATAAGAAGATGCAAATAATCTTATTATTTGTATCTTCATAATTTTATAGCCGATGATGGCTACTAAAGTTTATAACTCAAATGACAAAAAAATGACAATATTAAAAAATCAGGTGAAAAAAAAATTTCATTTTCCGAAAGAAATTAAAGATTGATTTATTATTTTCTATGTGTTAAGTTGAACTTTGTTATATATTACTATTAAGCTACCATTTTATTTTGTAACACATTCAATAAATGCAATTATATTAGCTCATATGTATTTTACATACAGATCATTTAATGTACATACTATGTACTATATAGTAAAACTATTTTGATATACATATTATGTTCTAAAGTACATACGAAGTATGTACATTCATACATAATAAGTATGTACATAAATACATAATACATAAAGTACATACATAATATGAAAATAATTTTAAAAATATATAAGTATAAAATATTTAAAATAAAATAAAATATTTGGATAAATTTGTAAATAAAATATTTGGACTTAAAAAATACAAGGTCAGTTTCTAAGAAAACAGTTCGGACTGACATAGCATCTTTTGCAAGAGTGCTACTAGTATATTGATAAATAAAAATAAACATTTTTTTTTTAGATTACCGCTATACAAACAATGAGAGAATAATTTTTACCGTATTTTTATAGTACCGTATTTCAAAACTTAAAATTGTTCATTTACAATATACCGTAACCATGATAAAGTGTTATTTACACAATACTTGACCATAAAAAATTTAATTTTGTAAAAATACTGCCATTAATAAAAACTAACTACAGTTGCTAATTTAACGGATTAAATCAACAATGGTAAGCTACGGTAAACTCATCGGAATAAAAATTCATGTTATGTTTAAACGTTAATTCCTAACTCTACGAGTATATAAAAAAACAACTATAAACTGCGAAAGATTGTAAACATTGTTCAACTTTCCCGCTCAAAATTACATAAAACTTTTTTTAAATAATAACTAAAATTAAAGTTTTATTAGCAAACAAGCACTATTTCTGGAAAAAATTACACTTTTTTTTAAAATTAGAATAATGCTCAAAAAGTGAAAAAAAAATGTGATGCATGTGTATTAGACTTTTTTTACTATTTGACCATATTTGTTAGAACCTATTTGTGCAAATAACGTAATACGACTAAACTCAAACACCCATAATTTACTCTCGATTCTCCAACATAAAAGTTTTATAAATCTAGTTCCCAGGTTTAGTTTTTCATAAAAAATTTGATCAACTCAAACACCCACATTTTACTCTCGATTCTCCAACATAAATCTAGTCCCCAAGTTTGGTTTTTCATATAATAATTTATATTTATTTATATTTGTCTTTATCACCCGGCAATAAATTGCAGGTAAAATAAATTACAATAAAATAGTCACCAATTAAATTAAAATCAGCTAAAACGACACGGCTCTCGCAGTTGTTTGCATTAAATGCTAATAACCAGCCGGTGTGTTTTCCACAAATTATTGGATCAGACTTCTCGGAACATTCTCCTCCATCAGATATTCCATTTGATATATTTTTGATTTGATATATTTGATATATATTTGATATGCTTTTGTTAAAACTAAAATATTATTAGAAAAATTATACGTACCGTTTTAACCCACTGATCTCAAAATATAACTGGATAGCGGATTCTATTGTTTTTTCCGAAAAAAGTTGAAGCCAAAATTGGCCTCCCAAGATGGCGGCGATTTTAGTTCCTAGCGGTAAAACCGATATATATTATATTTTACTTTATCAAAATACAAAAAAAAAAAAAAAAAAAAAAAATTAAACTTTTGTAAACTTGTAAGAAACAAGAAAATAATGAATTTTATAATTAATAATAAAAAAAAAAGGAATTATCTTTTTTTATAATTGAATTTATTATTAAATGGCATTTTAAAATTTACAATTTTATGTACCTTTTAGTTCTTAGCTACCCAATGCTGTATGCTAGAAAGTTAATAACATAACAGCATGTTAAGCAGCAATCATGTCTACCTATAATTTTTTATTCTCTATTTTTTGTAACAAGATACCAATTTGTAAAAATGCTGCATGAAGTTCATGCAGCATTTTTACAAATTTTTACAATTAATAGTTCATGATGAACTATTAATTGAGAATTGTGAGTACACAGAAACTCAAGGGTTTCTTCTAGAATTATATTATACTTGAATGCTATTATTGCATAAATTGTCACTTGTACTGTTAAAAAAACAGGTCTGAATTATGTTATTTATAACAAATTTTAAAACAAATAAAAAGTTAATGATCATTTCTTACTTAATTACTCAATACAAATAAGGATGCAAATGTATGTAAAAATACATTTGTTTGAAAAAAATGTATTAATTAAATATTTAATATAAAAATAATCAAAACTTCTCTTTGAAATATCTTCATAACTAAAGTTATATATACTGTTTACCTGCTGTTAAGTATTATGGTTATATGCTATAGTTTGGTGACTTTTATGTTAATTAAATGCATGTTGCAGTTAAACAATTTTATAAATTTTTATATTATTGTCTGGTCTAAAAACTGGTTTTATTGGATAGTTGGTAGCTATTAAATCTGTTTAAGATATATTTCTAAACTGAGTGGAAAAGTAGGTTAAAATTATAAATAAAATTATTATAAACCATAAAATTATTAAATATATAAGCTTTTTATTAGAGCTTATTAATTGCCAACAATTTACAGCCACGTATATATCTTCATCTAACATATATATGATCTTGAGCGTTCAATATTAAAATGGAATAATCACAAATATCTACATAATCTTGGTAATATTGACCACGATTATGCAGATATTCCAAATTGCATCATTCTATTTGAATTCAAAAAATTTCATAGATTGCTGGATAAACAGCTAAAATGATATAAAATAAATAATCTGCATTAAATGTATATATTTATATTTATACAATATGTATATAATATGTATATATGTATATATGTATATATGTATATATATATATATATATATATATATATATATATATATATATATATATATATATATATATATATATATATATATATACAAACATATGTGTGTGTAGTGATTTTAGAAGAATACAACCAAATAAAAAATAATGTACAAATAATTACATATAAAAAAATTCTAGAAGGAACCCCTGAGTTGTGTATACTCACAGAGCTCAGCTAATAGTTCATGCAGCATTTGTAAATTTATAATATCTATTTAAAAAACTAATTAAAAGTTTATTTTAAAAAGATATTCAGCTGCCTACCATGCAGTTATGTTATTAACCTTCTAGCACACAGCATTGGGTAGTTAAGAACTAAAAGGTACATAAATTGTATAAAAAGCAATATTAAACAATTAATTTATGGTAAAACTAAATATATGTTATAATATACCATTTATTTACTTTTCATTTTAGTTTTACCATAAATAAACTTTTTATCTGTATATCATATAAAAATAAAAAATGATTAAAATGATTTCAGTCTTTTACATTTCAAACATTTATTTTAGTTGTCTAGAAATTGTTAATAACTACTAGAGTCTTATTTTAATTCCACTAATAGGTTATAACTAGTTATAACTAATAACTAATAGGTTATAACTAGTAATAAGCTATTAATAATAGGTTATCACTAGTTATATAGAGTAACCTAGTAGTTTATCTACTAGGTTTTAGGTACTATTTTTTTGTGTGCTCTTTACTAATGTTAAAATAAACTAGTTTCTAATTAATTTAACTAAAAATTTTTATCCTATTTAATCAAATTTTTTACAAAAAAAAAAAGATTTAATGACAAACAAACTTACTGTTTAGAAATTACTTACTGTTTAGAAATTAAATAAAATAAACTTACTGACAAACTTACTGTTTAGAGTATATTTTGTTAACCAAAATATTATAAATATTTTAGAAATTTACGTAAATATGTAATATTGTTGCTATGTAAAACCAAAAATTATATTTGTATTTGAGACTTGTACATTTATTTTTATATAAAAAAAGATATAAAAGTTCGTTACGAAAATTTCTAAATTTGTAATAAACAAATACGCCGCCATCTTGGGAGGCCAAAACTGGCTTCAAAAAATTTGCCGTATACGCTATCCAGTTATATTTTGAGATCAGTGGTTTTAACCACAAAATAAACTAGGTGGCCGTCTAGGGCTGCAATTTTTCTTTCCGGCGCTAAATAAAACACTACAACAAGTTACCTACATAAAAATGGGAAAGATTAGCAACTTTTTTGGTGAAATTTTTTCGGATATTTTGAACTGACTTTAATAATATAGCTTGGTGTGGTAGCCAAACTGGTAAACAATATTCTATTATTGGCCTAAACCGTCCTTTTTAGAATAAAGTGATTTTTTTTTTTTTCAGCGCAGCGACGCAGGAAGAGTTGCATTGCATGATAGCAGTATAAAATAAATTTGATGACTAGTTTAATCAAGGTCTATTTTGATGCTATCTGAGATTTCTGCAATAATTGATCTTGCGAACCTTTGCGAATGTTGAATGGTTTTAATAACAATAGTTACGCACTCGGAATTTTTCTAGATCTATCTAAAGCAATTGATACTATCAACCACCAAATTCTTATCTAACTACGCAGTTATGAAATAGTTCACTCTAACTCAAAGTGGCTGCAATATTGTTTAGAATATCTTAAACAAGGAGTACCATATGATTTAACACGCACACGATTTGAATCAATAAGTTGCGGTGTTCCACAAGGATCAATACTCGGACTTTTGCTGTCTTTAATTTATATAAATAATATTTACTTGCCCTCAAAAATAATTAATAATATTATTTTGGCTGATGACACTAATGTTTTCTTTTCAGACTCAAACTTAAAAAATATTTTTTATTATGTTAACGCAGAACTTATATATCTTAATGAGTGGTTTATAGCAAATAAACTTTCATTGAATGCAGGTAAACATAATATATTTTGTTTGCTAAACCATCTAAATCCGAGAACTTTCCAACTTAAACTACCATAACTAGCAATAAAAAATATTAAAATAAAAAGAGTTTTTTCAATGAAAATACTTATAATGATTTTTGATAAACATTTAAATTGGAAAAGCCAAATAAATTTAGTCAATAATAAAGTTTCAAAGACTTGGGGATTATTTACAAGACAAAATATCTTTTGAATAAAATATTTTTAAAATATTTATACTATTCATTTATACATAGTCATACTAACTATTGTAATATTGCCTGGGCAAACATTCATTCATCATTCCTAAAAATTATTTATACAAAACGAAAAACAAAGAAGTCGATTAATTTTGGGAGCAGATAAATACAAAAGTGCCGAGCCGTTACTTAAGGAAATAAATGCTCTAAACGTATACGAACTAAATATCTATCATTACTTGTTATTATTCTTTAAACTTCAAAATGAAATAATTCCAAAATATTTTTATAAAAATCTCTCTAATTAATCATAAATATGAAACAAGACTCTCAATAAATAATTACTACATTCCATTAATATCACAAAAAAAATCTAACTTCTCAATACATGTCGAGGACCACGCTTGCGTAACTCGGTTCTTGACGAAAATATGAAAAAAAAAACACTTGCTAAGTTTAAACAATACATACACTAATTCATGTTTTTTTTTTTAATTTTCTTTTATGATATATCTTTCATGTTGTTTTTGTTTGACATCTAAATAGATGAATTTAAACTTTCAAAATGTTTTGATTTTCTTAAATTCTAAACCTCTTTTAAATATTTAAATATATTACGTATTGTATTGAATACGTATACGTATATGT